TATTGATGTATAATAATGGCTTAATATGCTACAATTTACATACCATAATAAATAAATAAATAAAAAATGTATTCTTAATCATTTAAATAATTTATCAATCCCTTATTCTTAAAATGCATGTGCGAATGCAGGTATTTATTGTTAGAACCGGTGCGTAAGATTCCATTATCACATTATATGAAAAGGAATGGTTAATTTATAAACTTTCAAATACAATATTTAAATACAATATATCTAATTCGCTAATTTATAATTTTGTATTATATTATTATATCGTAAGATACTTCCTATAATTACTAATAGCAAAGTTATTTTAATATTTTAATTATTTATTAAGGCATATGAATGATTTTAGTAGAAGTATATTGTAGATTAATACTTTTGATCAAATAGTAGTTTAAAAGGTTATAAATATATAGGTATGAGTGAGTGTATATGTATATATACATATATATGTACGATTTTGTGTACATTAAAACAACAGATTGTCTTGTTGTTATTTGTTTGAAATTTATTATAAGTATATTTATTATATACGACTTATGTTTTATTGGATATGATCCATTACAATTTGGATGACAATGCAAAAATTGCATGATTCATATATTTATTTAAATTTTGTTTTTATTTATTAATCAACGTCCATATTCCATTAATATATCTATGGAAGCGTGTATCTATACATATTTATTTACACATGCACATTATGTAAAATATTAATTCTAAATTCTGAATATTATTTATTATTGCATATAATTCAAAATTCTCATTAGCTTGAATATATACAATTAAAATTAAAAAAATTTTTAAATCTGTAAAAAGTTATTTAGAAATTTGTTATTATTCCAGTTTAAAAATGTTTTCCACATAATTGTAGAAAAGTAATGGGAGTACCGATGATTGCTTGACATTTATGGAAGCAGTGTTCTATAAAATTAAATAAAAATTATTTAGAATGTCAATAAAAAATGGAATTTTGAAAATTAAGAGTTAAATTATTTATTATTTATTTGTTAGTTAAATATTTAACAATCTGTTTAACATTTGTTCCAAATTTTATAATTTCATTATGCATAACATTATAACTGATTTGATCAAATTACGCATATTATTCTATAAAGAAAATTGTGTATACATGTTTAAAAAAAATTGTTAATTGTGAATATTACAAAATAAATGAAGTATTAAATTTATAAATTATTTAAAAAGAATGTCTATTTACGTTAAATGATTTACTGGAATTATAAATTTACTACTAGTTTATTAAAAACTAATACAATAAAAAATGTAACGATAATTGTCACACTGACATATATAAATTATTAATACTTCTATATTCAATAGTTTATAAATTATAAAACATTTTATATCAATTTATTCAAAATTATATGTATGGTTTTTTATTTATTACAAACGTTTTTGTATTTTCACATTAATAAAGATGTTTAAGGCATCCAGTATCTTCTCTACTGATTTACGTTCTTTTTAAATATTCTTTAGTAAGCTTAAAATTACGTAAAGCGAATTTTTCATTTACGAAAGAAGATGTAAAAGAGTATATAAAGCATTTTTAAGGGATGAACGTGTTAAGTAATAATTTCTTAATATTTTTAATAGAAATGAAACATTTTTTAGTAGAATTAAAGATAAAAATTTTCTGTACTAATTATAAAATAGTTAAATACTATTTTTTGTATTAAAAATATTCCTAGTATTACGAAACATTTCTTTTAATTACTTTATTAAAGCTAAATATACTTCATTGTCATAGAACAACACAAGCAGTTTAAGCTAATTTACGCGTAGATCAATTATTATTTTAAATTGAATAAATAAAGTTAATAAATTATTTTAAATTGAATAAATAAATTCATTTCATTTAATTGAACCAAATTAGTAAATTAACTTTCAAAAAATCTACAATTTCATATAGTATAATTTTGCTCATATCGCATTTCACTTTTCTCAAATTTAAATTCTATGTATTTTACGTATTATATATCAACCAATTGACATTTGTGGTTTTTTTTTTTTATTTACCTTTGGATCATGCGTCCTGTCCATGTACACGAAGCCACTAATTTTACACATAGATAATTAAGACACAATGTAGGCGAATAAAACTTGAATACGATTGGTCGGCGGGCTGTTTTCCCTCTATAATAGATGGTGACCACTAGAGAAGGTGCCACTGACCTATCTCGCATTAAATATAGTTGAGTTATTCAATTACGGACTCATAGTTGCGGCTCTCCACAAGACTAGCGATCTGTCTTTTCACGTGCAATCGAGTGCAGCCAACAAAATGTGCAAGCAATTGTATAGGTATTTCAGTGTGAGAGTGTTGGACAAAACATTAAAGCATAAAGAGGAAGAGGTAGTTAGTAAAAGTCGGCTTTAATTTAAATGTAAATGAGCTTCCGTATGGGCTATGGAGGAATTTATGTGGACGGGAGCTACAAACTTTTATCATTGCGCTACTTATACTCCGAGGATTTTCATATTCCATGTCACATATCTCGATTGCGATAACGTTTATCCTAATCTTACTGGGCAAATAATTTTTCGCTTTACAACAATGATTAAACTCGATCTAATTAATACATATTAATGCTAATTTTACATGCATTTAAGTCGATCGATTATATATAGTTGTAATTATTTCTTCAGTTCCAAGATTAAAAAAAAAAAACTAATTCAATCGTAGCTTAACATAATATTATTATTTTTTCAATTGATATACAAAAAAAAACAATGTATATATCTAATCTTATTACTTTATTAATTTAATCATTTAGAAACCATAATTAATTAAATATATTCAAACAATTTAAAAAACGTAACTTTTAGTATACTTATTCTCGACAGGAGAAGGTACAATTTCAAATTTTCGAAGCCATACATACATGACTTATCTAAATTTTTAATCAATTGTATAATGATTTCTTATACAGAAAAGAAATTTTAATTCGAATAATTTTCCTGAAAATGAATTCCCTTAATTATTGAAGAAAATTCTCTAAAATACATTTATACTTTCAATCTCAATTATAATAAATTAAATTAAAGATACAATTGTCCTAAAAATTTATTATTGAATTTATTTGTTATTTTTTGTATCCTTTTTTGTTTCATCTGAATCTAACTTGTTATTTATCAGCTTTAAAACTTATCATAAATATTATTATCTGGCTCATCCAAAACTGGCCTAGAAAACTGTCAAACAGCTCTATTAAAAATATAATGTTTACTTTGAGATGAGCATGTAAAAGCAGTAGAGTGAATAAAGTTTTAGTCGACCGCATTAAGAGCTTATATATATAACTAAATTCATATAATTTTTCTATCCGTTTCCAATATTAACACAAGCTTAAACACGAATGTTGTTAAATCAAATTATATAATAGTACGTGTTTATACGTTATCATGTAAAATTCAATTTTATTGCCCTAAGATTTTTTTTCGCATTATTCATTTAAATGGTTAGATTTATGTGTTTTTCTATTTTTAACGTAACTTTTGTCACAGATTAATAAAGTAAATCATCTATACTAGTGTATTTCGAATATATTTAATACAGTGATTTCTAAAGAAATAATTGATAAAATAGTTTGATAAGAATTTAAGAATTTAATATTGTGTATTTTAGTTTTTCAGTTTACTTTAAATAAATCACATAATTAAAAGAAATTATTTTAGTCTCTATAATATAAAAAATGAATTGTTTCTTTCATTCTCAATAAAATTTTATCCAATATAATTTTTGCAATTATCTTATAAAATTGCTTGTAAAATATGCATTTGTTCGTGTCGTAAATTTTTAATTTACAATGAAACTATGTAAAAAATTACGAACAGAAGAAGAATTTTTTTAGAAATTTAATATTGGTATAAACAACTTTAAGTGGTACTTTAGTATTCACATTTAATTCTATTTCTTTTACCAATACAACAAAATATTATACAAAACAAAGCGTCGAAAAAGTTTAATTATATGATAATAGAATCTATACGAAAAAAATGAATCTTATAAAAGTATGAAATGCAGCTAATAATGCTAGTCATACCATGGGTTTAACGATTTATTAACAACAAGCTTTGTTATAGGTGAAAATAATTTAAATAATCTGAAATTCTATTTGCTTTAAAAAATATTTTCAATTCAAACAATTTAAGAATAATGTGAGAATCTTTGATACAATTAATAAAATATTTGTCATTGCTCTCTCTCTCTCTCTCTCTCTATATATATATATATATATATATAATTAATTTTTTTAATTAATTAATCATATTATGTATACACATTTTTTGTAAATTTATCACTAATGCTTATATATAATTTAAGCATCTCGATTACCTGCGTTTTTCATGTATTATGCAATAACTTTTGAATATTATTAAAATAAGTGTATTAATGTTTAGAAAATTGCATTAAAAAGTATTAAGACCTTTTTTCTTTCGCCATTGAAAAATTCATCATTAAACGCTTTTGTAATAAAAATTGAGCTCAGAAAGAGAATTTAATATGTTGGTGGCTTTGGATGTTTGAAGCAAGTTTATTTTATGCAGAATGTATTTAAAAGTCGGTATAAAGTATAATATATATATATATATATATATATATATATATATTTTGAATTTTGTTTATTTAATTATATGCATCTATTCTATATAAAACTGTTAATTAAATGTTTTATGAAATTAATGTTCAATTCACATCAATGAGCATCCGTATGATATAATTAGTAATATTCATAATTTATTTAATAATTTAATAATATCGATAATAATTGCTCATACATTGGAGGCGATACCACAATGGCTTTTGGCTAATACAATCGACTAAGAATAAGAAATTTAAAATGTTAAAAACAACATATACGCATCTCCATTCGAGCCTCCCACAATATTCCACGATATATAATCATCTCGTTATTTATGATTCATTTTTTTCATTCTTCTCTCTGTCTCTCTTTCTCTTTGTCCGTTTATTACAGTGCCGAAGGTCGAGATAGTTGACGAGCATGGCGCGACCGCCGGTGACAAGTTTTACAAAGCCGGCAGTACGATAGAGCTCAAGTGTGTGGTCAGCAAAGTGCCCCATCCCACGGGCTATGTCACGTGGATGCACGGCGCTCGAACTCTCAACTACGATACAATCCGAGGCGGAATAAGGTAAGTGAGCATTCGTAAGACTTACTCGGACATTGTTGTTAATGGTTAAACCCGCGGGACAGCAGCAGTAGACGAAGCTCCTCCGTGATCAGGCGGCGCTATTATCGCATTTGATTATCGACGGACAATTGCTGATTCGTCGTTGCATTCAATTACTTGTTGATCAACTTGCTGAAATTGTAATATCGACGTTTCGCGGATGGTTTTAGTACCGGACAATTCGAGTGCTCGAGTGCCCGTGCCCTTAGTGCTTATAGTTTCGTGACGAGAACCTGACAACGACCGACGCACGAGTGCGATTCAATTTTTGAGATGTATATTTATTGGGTTGGCTAAAGTGAATGGGAGCTTAAATAATTAAAATAGGCGAATTGCTTTATGGACGCGGGGAATTATCGAAATAATAATGATCTTGTTGGATAATGATCGACGCTGTGTTTAACGATCACAATATACAGCTACTATTCGGAATTCGGATTTTATCAACGTTTCCGACAATTTAAATAAGATTTTACGGCTGGGAATAATCGTAGAGAGGACGATAAAATTTTTGGCTCTGAACGGATTATTATTTTAATAATTTATCCAGTAATTTTTATAATACCACCGCTATGTTTAATGTATAATTAAATGTTGCGATGATGCGATGTTGTTTTATTAGCTTAATTATCATTGTGAATGCTCCAATGCTTTCACGCAGCAGGTAAAATTCATTCATCCATTTATATGCAAAATCTTCTCGATAAAGTATTAATCACATTGAGCGAATGACTCGAGCGTCGAACATTGCCGGAAACATTAGAGGCATCCGCCTCTTATCATAAACAGTGATAAGAGTCGAAATTATTACAATGCAGCAGCTCAATCGCTAATCACAATAATAAGCAACTCATGACATTCCATGATAATATAAGCATTTAAATATTTAAGGATCTGTCGATCGACACTATCCATTATGATAAATTTCTAAAAGTGGCAACGAAAGTTCTTATACGAATTAAACTTTAATATTATGTATGTGCGTGGGTGGTAGTGGCGTCGTGGGTGCAATAGGTATTGACGAGCAATTTGGCGAAAGGCGTGGAAGAGCAGAAGCGACCAGTAGCAGCTGATAGTTCATGCAGGCTGGTCGCGAATTCTAATTGACCTGGTAAAGAATGGAGTGTTCGTTGAATTTTGAAAGGTTTTCATTAAAGTTCGTCCGGAAGAACTGTTATTGATGAAAGTATGAAGACGGCTTACCGCGTGTGACCTAATTGGTTATGTATTAGAATTCATGAATTTAAAGTATCGACGCTCTCGTGCTTATAAAATAAATTTTCTTTCCGGGTAGGTAATAATAAAACTTTCAATAATTTCATTATTTTATTAGTGGCACGAAGATTGTATGTTTTTTTATAAAAGAAAAAAAAATGGGATAATGTATTATTTTCTCTAAATATGCAAACAGTTTTATAAGACTGAGAATTTAGTTAAAGAAAGGCTGTTGAGTAATGAAATAACATTAAATCGTAAATTGTATTAATATAATAATGTTTTATAAGAATTTTATAATATAATATTATTAATATAATTGTATTATATAAAAAAAAAAAAATTTATACCGAAGTTTAATCATTTCTTCGTAGCATAATTCTAATGATTCATAAAATTAATACAAATAGAATAATTTGTAATAAGTGTTATAATAAATATGTTTTCCATTTAAATGTTTCGTACAAAGTGTATAATTTTAACATTGGTATAAATAATAACCAAACCAGTTAAAAATGCAACATTAAAATATTTTCATTTATTAACTTCTTACTTAATTTATAATTAAAGAAAATTTAAATAATAATATTACGTTCATGCGATACGCTTTCAAGTATTTAATGAAAATAAAATAAACCATGTACAATGATGAGCAAATACTTATTGCTTTTAATTTTATTTTTATTAAAAAAATTTACTAATACTTAATATAATATACCGGATTTATAGATTTTATATAGTGAATATATTAAATATTTAAATAATTCATAAGTGAATAAAAACATGCAATATAGCGAAAATAGAAGTCTTTGTTTATTAGTTTAATTTACAAAATATTGTGTCTTAGAAGGTTTTTTATTTGCATTTCAATTTATATTATTATTATATATCTTTATCTTATTATTATATCTTTTATCTCAGTATTATTACATTCAACTAATTAGTCGCGTAAATTTCATTTCACCACAGGTGTTTTCTCATTAAACATAATTAAATATAATTATACCCCTGTTTATAAAATTAAACGATACTGTATGTAGATTTATGTTGGATACGTAACACGGAGAGTGAAAATTAGTGTTTTCATTCTCATAATCTACTTCCGAATGAATGATAAAGTGTTCAAAAAAAAAAAAAAAAAAAAAAAAAAAAAAAAAAAAAAAAAAAAAAAAAAAAAAAAAGTAATAAACAGCATTAAAGAGACTATTTATTTGATCATAATGATGCACTCGCCACGCTGCTCAATAAATATAGTAATTCTTTCCGTCTAGTGAAATTTTAGAGATGTTTCTTTGGAAAATAATCGTAATACTTGGGGAGCCGAAGGAACTGAGACTAATTATTAATCGTACATGATAATTATTGTGATGTGATGTACGCTACCGACATGAATTTTTGAAATATTTATTCATACGTCTGGACATTATGTTATAAATACAATAATTAGAAATAAATAAATGACAATAATGATTGTGAAAAATTATAATTTTAATCGAAATGTTTCACGTAGAGTGAACTTTAGTCCACGTTTAGTTATCTCTAATGTGACATTTTAAAATACAAATCATAAACTCTATCCCTCGTATCTTTCTCCCATACTTGCTAAAATGCTGTTTTTAATATAAATCTAATTATGACTTTGTCTATTCGTCGCAAAAAATAAAGTATTTTAGTAACATGCAACAATAGACTTTACATACAGTTATTTATTTTAAATTGTAGATTATAAATTATAAATTAACTATTATAGTTGGCCTCCGCACCTATTTATCCATCTTTTTATATCACTTGGAAATCTGTAGTTAATAAATGTTCTCTTTCTCTTTTAATATATGCATCTTCACATATAATTAAAAAGATAGAGCAACGTAGTTTAAATTCTATCCATTGCGTAATTCTTCCTTTGAGCTGAGAAATAATATAAGGACTACTATGAAGAAGATTGAAGAGCAGGTATATGGTGAACCAGATGAAGTTAGTTAGAAGTATAACATTATTAAAGGCCTTGGAGTGTATCGTATTACGCCTCGATACTTCCTCTTTACCTTGCCTCTTTACCTTACCCTCTTCTCCCTCAGCTACAAGAGTTCAATTTTTACTCTTTATCACTCTCTCTCTCTCTCTCTCTCTCTCTCTCTCCCTCTCTCCCTCTCTCTCCCTCCCTCTCTCTCCCTCCCTCTCTCTCCCTCCATCCCTCTCTTTCTCTTAGATGTACGTCGAAATGTATACTACTTGTATAAGAATACGAATGAATGTTAACGTTAATCATTGGTGAGTATACATTAGGAGAAAGCTAACGATATAAATAAATAAATAATCTGTGAAAGAAATGAGCGTTAAAAGCAAACACAGAAATAAATGGTAGAAATCAATGGACATAGAATATTTTTGATAGCGGATTCGTTAGTGAAAATTGATTTCAGAAATTCTAAAATAAGAACATGTAATACCAAGCTCATTAATATATCCATTTATATAACTTCGTATTTATGATTTTCTATTTTTACTTTATAATCCTATCAATTTTACAACTGATCGTATTATGATTAGTTTATGGTCTTGTTTGTACTCGTAATGAAAAAGCGATCAAAGTCGCTAAGGATCAATCACTTAACAATCTACGTAAAAGAAATTATGCTTTCACTTTAAAAAGTAAAAGTAAGTAAATATATGAATGCTTTCACTTAATATGTTTATACAATTAGGAAGATTGAACAGTTAAAATGCATAATTTATTTTTTTTTTTTCAATAATTTAGATATGAATAAGAATGTGGAAATTATATTGCAAGCAATTAACATTAATAAAAATAAGAATGCCGAATATTATGTAAATGAGAATTATTGTAAAATTATATTGTAAATGAATGAAATACGAGTTTTCGAATTTTTTGTCAGTAGTAGAATTAATTTTCATTCTGTTTCCTCTAACGAATGTTGATTTTCATCATTTTCATCCTTCGTTATTCTAATTGACGTTATATATTTTTAACGTATTTACTTTACAGAACGATGTTTTATGAATTTATGTATTCTATTTATATTGCAATCTAAATTTTTATCTTAAATAATAGATTTATAAACTTTTCATCAATTGTATTTTAATTAACCGAATAAAATGTTTATTTAATATTGGAAATTGAAAAACCCAGGCGATAGTAATATTAATACAGAGAAAGTGAAGTAAAAGATTATAAGAATTTCTACATTATTGATAGAAAATTTGTATGAATTTCTGTACTTTTTTCATATTTGTGCTTTTCAATGTAGGAAATGAAGTTTTATTCATAAAATTTATATTATTTATAGATTATTTAGAAATTGAGTGATAAATGTTATAATTTTTACTTTACAAAACTTTAAAATATAAACTTAGTTATTACAAATGATTTTGAGTTAAGATACAAACAAATGTGAAAATTGAATTTAACGCAATTTTTTTTAATGCGAATTTCAAATTCTAATTCGGATCTAATTTATTTGAATTCAATTTTAAATAAAATGATATCTTTCTTCATCGTTTATCAGATCTGAAATATTTCAAATCCTTAAGGCTACTTCATGTAGTCCAGCTGTGTTACGTAATCCTTTCTCACAATTTTTTAAGTTAGATGTATTTCAAAAATTAGAACACATTAAAGGGATTTCTCGATTTTATAATTCAGTACATTAAAATCTAAGTCAATGTTTACGGAATTTTATCATTTTTTAAATAGTGTTTTTGCTTTTATGATGCAGTTTATTATA